TTGGGTTTAACTCGTTAGAGGAGTTATGGGATTTCAGCTTGTTTCTTCCGTTCTTCTGGTGGCCATAGGATGCTGACGCTACATACGATGATGCCTGACGTGTATCCTTTTCTCACCCTTCCATTTCTCTGTATATGTCTAGGGGTGCATATTCCCTCTCTTCTTTCTCTTCCTTCCCCTTCTTTTTCTTCTCCTCTTTACTTCTGCTGTTTAGCGAAGTGTTATTCCTAGCATGAAATTTACTAATTTGTAATGCCTCATCTGTTCAGCATGTTTCATGTAAAACATATCTGGGTATTGATAATCTAATTCTAAATCTAACGGTATGCCGCTACCCTTCACATCTCTTCTAGGTCAGAGTCCTCGTCTGCATGCCTCCTACTTCGTCGTCGAGATATACTCAGCGGGTTCGCCGGTAGCATGTCGCTGGACCCAATGTCTATACTGTCATCATTCCCTCCCCACCGTTCAATGAACAATCGTTCAGCTTCGGTTTCTCGCCGCGGCCCTGAGGGTGTGAGATGGGGTATATATCCTGGAGGTAGGCTGGCCCAGCTTAACCTCGAATGGCCTTCATCTGTGCCTTCATCTTCGCCTTCCCCTTCCCCTTCTTCTTCTTCTTCTTCTTCCCCATCTTCGTCATCGTCTTCGTCATAAACATCTTCATCAGAGTCTGTATGTTCCCATTCCTGTTGTTGAGAGGGAGTCTCCTGTGGCGCATCCGGGACGCTGCCATCTAGATCCCGCTCCATCATCATATTCGACTCACCAGGAGTCCTAGTATTATTATTATTCGGTGTACGCACCTCACTAGTGTCACCGTATCCGTCTTCTTCGTCTTCTTCATCTTCTTCGTCATCTTCATCTCCATCCTCGTCCTCATCCTCTTCATCCGCATCCGGAGCCTCGGGGACATCGTCATCTAGATCTCTCTCCATCATCCCTTCTTCTTCCTCGTCCAGAAACTCTTCCTCTTCATCTTCATATCCTTCCTCGCCTTCCTCTACCAGGCCAAACCCTTCCCCGTCGCCATCGGGTATATCACCGTCCAAATCTCTCTCCATGCCAGCATCCCCTTCTACACCCTCCCCAGCACCATCCAGCCCCAAACCTCCTTCGCCGCCTTCAACTCCTTCCATGAACTCTTCCTCTTCTATATCGCCCTCGCCTAACCCCCCGCCGGCACCCTCCTCGCACTCCATCTCTTCTTCCCGCAGGCCCATCATGGTCTTGGGGAAACCGGCAGGCCGAATCCATGAGAATCCAAAGGACGCAATGTTCTGTTTTCGTAATGTAAGGGCACGTTCTTCTGCGAGTAGTGTAGAAAGCGGATCAAATGAAGCCGAGAAGAGAGGGGTGTTTGTTCCTTGAGACCGGCCATTTCGACGGCCAGGTTGTGGGTGCTGCGCGCCGGAAGTTGTGTTTTGGGAGGAATTAGCTGCAGACCGTCCTGTGTACGAGGATGAGTACCATAGGGTATGAGACTGTAGGAATTATTATCAGTAGGAGCGCTGTCGCAGCTGTCATTGAGTGGTAGCACTCACGTCCCTGGGCTCTATTGGTGGGAGAGGGTTAAACATAGTGCTGCTATAACATAGACACTTGAATATCGCTGCAGGCAGGGAATGTCTCGGGTATTGGTCTGTGTTCAGACCTTCGAGGACGTCAACGTTGTCTTTGTGCTTAGACGTCGGTGATTACTGCTTGTTGATGAGGCTCAAGAAGAGCTTCAAAGATTGTTTATCTGTAAAAAGCTTGGCATAACTATATAGATAAGCTTACATTGGAATGCATCTCTATTGACACGGTAAGGCACAGCAATAAGTTATTGAGAGGAGTTGCTTCTCTTGTTAATATTCAAAAGGATATTTGACGCTCAAATACTGCTAGGACATGGTATGCGTGGGATGGGCAAGACCGAGTCGACATGATGGCTAAGATGTAATATGGCCACATGCAAAAAATTCCATAAGAATAACCCCACGCAACAAATTAGAGGTCCGACAACTAGTACTCTGTACCTTCCCATGACTAATTCTTATGGCAAGCGGGTTCGCCCAGGTAATTACGCACACAGACGTCGGGATCCTGGCAAACCACTCCTCCCTTGCAGCAGTTATGAGTAAAGAAATTGAAGCAAGTAACTCCATCACAAGTCCATGGTGCGTAGGGAGGGCAGTCTAGAGTAGCACGGGACCGGCCACGGATTGCGGGAGTGTGGCTTGGAAGGATGGCGTGGTCCGGGTCTCCTGGCTGGATGGGTGGAGAGATAGTACTCAGATCGAGGGTTAATACCTCATCATCGGTGGGAGTGTTGCGTTTGAAGGGCTTGGCTGACATCTTGCCTTGCATCTTTCTTGTGTCGACGACAGTTCCAGGGGTCCTAGTAAACTCTCCGGTCGTGGGTGTCTCTGAGGGTGAACCCGGAGTTGCTTGAGTGTAGGCCACGAAAGCGACAAACCCGGTGAAAAGGGCGCTGGCGAGCTTCATGTTTACTTAACAAACTGATGGACACGGCCGGACGTGGGTATCAGAGCCAACAAGGGTGTTGCAGCTGTAGCAGAAACAGGAGTCGGGAGTATGATTGTGTAGAGTTGCGAGATTTCAAGAGCAGAACGCAGCAAACATAAAATGGGCAAGCTTTTATACGGCTGCCCTGGCCACTGCTTCCAAAGCAAATTCCTGGGTGTTTTTCCAGTGACTTGGTATAACCGGCCCTGCTTGGACTACGTTGGGTATTGACATGGCGCTGCCAACAATAATGCATCAATGGAATATGGAAAGCGTAAAATACATCATCATTCATAGCATGGCCATGAATAACCAGCATCTTCACGTAACTACCAACACAGCCCCAAGTTCACTTGAAGAGACCCCTATATTCAATATGGTATGCCAAACGTGTTCGCTGATATCAGTGCTATTCATCAATAATAATAACATGGACTGTGGATCTCGATGCGGGCTGGAAGTTTAAAATCTCGGACCCTGGCCGCTCTCACGTGTTATTCAGGCACGCCAAGCCGAAGCTACCGACGGAAGAAATTTTTGGGACTCGAAAAGCGACATCGGCTGCACCGCAACGAACCAGGTTCACACGTCCATCGGCGTCTTCGTTTTCCAGGCTTGTTCTTTTTTGTTCTGCCCTGTAGACTGCTCTGTCCATACTTCTATTTACGACCCTCGCTTCCCTAGAATTATTTAAAGAGATCACGAACGAGAACCCCCTTCAATATATTAAAAATGTCTCCACCTGCAATCGCTGTTGCTGGAGCTGGCTCAGCGACCAAGGATGTCAAAAGAGAGTCGGGCACTGCTCGTCTACTGGGATCAGGTATGTCAAGGCTCTAATTGACGTAGATGACAACTGTTGCTGATGCAATTTGCTATAGGATCTGCTGGGATTGCGGAACTGCTCATCTTCCATCCGGTAAATGGCATTGACGCATTGGAATGCATGTGAAGCACAAATGACTGAGAAATCCGATGAATTAGGTCGACACAACAGCTAAACGTCTCATGAGCAACCAGGGAAAGGTGGGTTCTCTGTTGGATTATGGGTGATTATACTCTGTCGCTAACCTTTGTGATTAGATTACCAATGTTTCCGAATTGAACAAGGTTATCTTTAAGGAATATTCCTCCGCCGGTGTTGTGCGCAAATTCACGTCCCTCTTCCCCGGTCTTGGATACGCTGCTGGATATAAGGTGCGTCCTGTGGTCAGCTGATATACAGCACCAGGCCAATTTCTAATAAGCACTAGGTTCTGCAAAGAATATACAAGTATGGTGGCCAGCCATTTGTGCGTGACTTCCTAGGCACAAACTACGGAAAGGACTTCGACAATGCCTTTGGAAAAGGAACCGGCAAGGCCATCATGCACGCTACTGCTGGAAGGTGTGTAAAAGCGGGCCACCGTTCTTTCAGCTTGCTTTCCTAGTGCTGACAACGCTCTAGTTTAATTGGTATTGGAGAGATTGTCCTCCTGCCACTCGACGTCCTCAAGATTAAGCGACAAACCAACCCAGAGGCTTTCCGTGGCAGAGGCCTCTTCAAAATCATTTCTGATGAGGGCATGGGCCTCTACCGTGGTGCTGGCTGGACTGCTGCTCGTAATGCTCCTGGTTCTTTTGCTGTACGTTTGCCCTTATATCACCCACAAAGCCTGGATTATTACTGACATTGTTTCCATTAGCTGTTTGGTGGTTCCGCTTTCACCAAGGAGTATCTCTATGGTCTCACTGACTATAACTCGGCAACCTGGTTCCAGAACTTCATTGCCTCGATTGCTGGTGCCAGTGCGTCTCTCATTGTTTCTGCTCCTCTCGATGTGATCAAGACACGCATCCAGAACCGAAACTTCGAGAACCCTGAGTCCGGATTCCGTATCGTCAGCAGCATGGCCAGAAACGAGGGAATGACCGCCTTCTTCAAGGGATTAACTCCCAAGCTTCTCATGACTGGTCCCAAGCTCGTCTTCAGCTTCTGGCTAGCGCAGACCCTTATACCCGCCTTTGGGAAGGTTGTCTAAATCGCTAATATGATTGACTCCCCTCCCCCTACCCCTTTACGTTCTACGGCAGCGTGCATCCTCATGCACGGGCTTCTGCTCACCTGGGGTGTATTCTATTTATGATAGATTTTAATATCTCCGCGCCCCCTTCTTTTTCGTGTATTTATAGAGGATCGTCTCCCCCTTACGGTTACATGTCAGCCTAGTTCCTGGAGTTAATGCAAAAGATGGTTTATATGTTCTTGGGAATTTGCGTTGTTCAATTTGAGCTTTTCAAGGCTTGCTATATGGGCTATTGTCATCCCTTGTGATGGTGGCTTGGCCGTTTACACCCAGCTCATCGTGCCTTCCGCATCGCCAATAACAATCGGTTGTTGATGTATCAAGTAGTAGGCACGATCAATCGACACCGCTAGACAAGGGCTGAACATCGTCTCTGGCCCGCCTGTCTATCAGATCTGGCTTACAATAGTGAGGGATAGCAGGATGAGTTCCTTTCAATCTGAACTGGATATCGCTCCGTCTGTTGAAGAACGAAGCGTGATTATCCACCAAAGCAGACTACACTGGGAGTTTTTGCGTGAGATGACAGTCGATGAGCCGTTAAGTTACGTACCAGACATCTGTCAAAGACTTGAGAATGTCCCTGACTATACACATAGTCGTCATGCGGAATATATTGACCCATCCAACCAATATGTATTTGGTAAAGGGGTCGCGAAATGGTCAACAACAGATACATGGGGTTGTGAGGCTCCTCACTCTTTGGAGGAGAGTGAGTGCAATTCATCGCATAGTGAAGACTTCATGCGCCTGGCAGAGAACAAGATGGTGGTACAAGATGTCTTTCTAGGCGTACGGGATGCTCTTCCTTGCTACCTCGATGAAAGTCATGGATTGAGAGGCTGGATTGGCAATGGAGATGGAAGGGACTACGTGGCAGTGCTGACCCTGGCATGGGCTTATATCCTTTCCAGCGCCTGGGCGACGTCACAGAACGGGAAGATTAGATATACGGCTGCGGGGGCACCGACTTGCGCCTCAGGCCAGGCTTATGGCCCAGCTCTAGAAATTTGCACCGAGAATCCAGAAGTCGTGAGGTGGTGGTCGGCAGTCCTTGCTCCTGGGCAAGGATGGGTAGCCTCAATTCGTCTTGGTGGTGATGTTGAATACCAGTCACCATGGGCAATTCACCTCATCAGTTACCTGAATTTGACTATGTGCGGACCTGCACCTGTAACCCCTATAGAATGTCCGAACGCGCCTACTAGCTATCAGTATCTCCGACATTTCTGCCTCCAATACGGCCTTGTGGAGCAGGCGAAAGCAGCCCTCGTGGCAGCCCTCATGATCCCCACACACGCACACACTTGGACCACTTTCGTGCTACCGGCGCCGAAACTTACGCATTCCAATCCTCCGACGGTGAGTTCAGGGTCGCAATGTGAAGTCCTCGATGAGCTAATTTGTCGGATACCACACCTTATGACTATTAGTTCTGCTTGTACTGTGCTTGATTCTCTTCTCTGCAGCGTCTTTTTCGAACCGTCAGTTCCATGCAATCTATGCAGTGATTGGTTAGAGCCCATATTCCCGATCCTTGACTCCGTGGACCTGCGCCGCGCTACAACTATGTGCATGTTCCAAGGTGCATCAGTTCAAGGTTGGTGGCTGGGGAGTGCGATCACTGGCCTTGATAGGTTTGTTCTGCGGGAGACTCGACGCGGCACACCCTATGTGAACCTGCAATCCTGGTGGTGGACGCAGACACCTCAATCCTTTATATGCTTTGCATACTCAGACCCAATCGGTAGCAGTGAGACGCTTATTACTCGTGAGAAAGAGACGTTTTTACTCTTTCTTTCTCAAAAAAACTGGATCAATACCCCCCCACCTTGGAAACCTCCTGGTAGAATTGTGATTAGTGACTCTCATCTAGCCGTTCAGCAACACGCTCGCTGCACTGGCCATTCTCTCCGTTACATGTCATGGTGCTGGGTCACCAAAAAGGGCGAGTATCTCGCGGACGCGGGCTATACATCTCCGGGAGATAAACTGCCACCGGTAAACTTAGGCAGCCTGGCCAGGCTGGAGTGGTCTGAACCCGACGTGGATATAGCTCCAGAAACTATGGATCAATATGCCTCAAAAATATGTTCTGATACAATATTCGGATGTATTTGGAAGGAAGGGGTGGCGGTTCATGACAGAGATTTACATGAATCTCTGGGAAGGTGGTTATACGGGGACCCGATCCCTCCGAGCTCAACCCAAGAAAATGACCCAATGTTGGATTCTGATGACTTGGACGGTATAGTATCAACGAATGTTGCAGATATTGAGGCCTGGCTTGATCTGATAGTGGAGACCGCACCTGGCATCATGACATTGCGCGAGTCATATTACCTGTAGCGAGCATTGACTGTGACGCCTGTAGCCATCACATGCTACCCCGTAGTCATTATATTAGCCATCATCTTTACCTCGAACATGGATTGTCTGCCTGTTCATCCTCGTCGACTTCTGTTCTTTAATCTGGAGGTTGAGTTGGAAGCTCAGGCAAGCTTTCACTGGGCCAATAGGATCCCGAGAAATCGGCCAATCATTGGCCAAGGATCCAAGTAGCTCACTAGTTGGCTGACTAACGTACCCGCTTAGAAACCTCGAATTGAAGGACGACGACAGTCCATCAGCCTACGTCTCCGTCCATTCCCAATAATAATCATTTTCATCATGGCGTCTCCAGCGGCATATCCCTATCTCATCTCGAAGTAGGTCAAGCACTGTGGTAATATTACTCAAATCAAGTTACCAAAGCCCTACTAACGCCTCTGCAGAGTCGCAGATCCGCTCTTCGCCATGGTAATTGGTAGTTCAGCTGCCTTTATCCGAATAAGGCGCGAGCACCGTGAACGTTTCCCCGATCAACCCTCAGACTTCATCTCGCTACTGAGTCTGGCCCAAGGAAGAGCAAGCCGATGGTGGAATAACTGGCAGTGAAGCACAAAGACCACGAACGGTTTCCTACTTATACTCGCGCGCTGTACGTGAGGATTACCACACCTGTCGACAATATTGCGAGGGGAAGAAACATTACTGGGACAGAAGAACGTCTGAGGATGAAGTGTTCGCTACACTCTTTACCTTTATGATACCCCTAACGGCTTTATGGCGAGGTAGGCCATACTAAGATGGAACGGAATAGCTTGGCAGTAGAAGGTTGATGCTGTATAGGATAAACCTACTACCATAGCTACAAGCTATTCTTCATTGGTCCGCCTTGAAATTTCATACATATTCTTAGAGCTATTATAAGCATGATTCTAGCCCCGGCCATAGGACGTCTACGAGGGTACACATCCCGATGTGATGTAAAGAAAGGATTTTAGCCGGTACGCTTGTATTATTCAAAAAAATGAAAAATAAAGTACATCAGCGTAACCAGTATGCAACAACACTGTTGATTACTATCGATGCTGGTAGTGCCAAAGCGTAATATGAGACCGAGAAGAAAATTTCCATGGGTAAGAGGAGGAGAAGCCAAGTGTCGAGTGTTGAACGAACTGGTGTCGATTAGATTTCATTTATGGTGACATCACCATTGGTAGTCTGTCTCCCCGTCCGGCCCCCAGGTACTCAAAACGCCAGCCACGTCCTGCCAACAATAAAAAAGGGACCAAAACCAAGTAGTAGAATAGCCGAGGGACGAAGCTAGGCCGGCTTCTTTCCCATATCAAAGCAAAGTTGGTCGTTTTGCAAGGGAAGGAAAGATGGGAGAAACGGCCATGTTCTCCTTAGCTGTGGAGAGAACGGATTCTATAATTATCCGGACAAAGATGACATCACGTAACGACATGAAGTATGAACAAAATCCCTTCCGTGAACACCGTTAAACCAAAACCAAACCGAAGACAGCAAGTGCATTACTGCAGCTCGGGGAAGCTTCCGAATGTGTTTTCACCGGAATATCTAAATCGTCACACGGTCAGCCAAGTGAGCGAGATGATAAATAGGCTTCGAGGGTTTACACACGTGATGTATAGGAAGCCGTCCTCGTCCTTGTGCTCCTCATAGATGCTGCTCATGAGAGCGGCAGTTGGCGGAAGGACTTCGTCGACGAAGATAAAGATGGCCTTCTCCGGAGAGAGCTTGATGCGTTTGCGGATGACGTATACAAACTGTCCGACGGTGAGGTCTGCAGGAACGAGATATTTCTTCTTGTCGATAGTGGCGATATCTGATTTCTCGACCTTCTCGCAGATAACCTGGAGGACAGAAAATGGTTATTAATTTATGTTGAAGCTGGAGGCTATGGCTGGAGCCTAGCAGGAGATACAAAGGAGGCTCTTACGGGGATGCGGTCTGCATATTTCTGGCGGATGCGCTCAGCTTCTGCCTTGCGCTTCTCGAACGGGTGCTCGTCCTTGAACTTCGATCGCATGGTTGCTGATTTTTTGTATGTAAGTTGCTGGGTGGTAGCGGTGTTGGCAAACAGAGCGGTAGACTGGCACGAAAGGCAGCGTAGATGCAGGAGGCAGAAGTTGATGATAGCAGGAGAGAGGAAGAGTGGGAAGAGAGCGAGAGAGAGCTGGACCCCGCGTACTTAAACGGAAGGCGGTGGGCACGGGACACTAAGGCCGAAAAAGGACTAGCGTCGGCTCCACATGACGTGACTGCCTGATCGCAGGCGGTGAGTCAGCCACGTGATGCATCTGCTGACAAAGACAGCTGAACTCTGATAGCTCATGGACAAAGCTGGCTGTTTTGGTTGGCTGGGACGCAGAGGTCGAAGAGAAGAGCAGGCGAAGCGAAAGCGAAGACGAGAGAAAGTGACTCATGATGGGTATTGAGGACAGCAAGGTGTAAGGGCTGATGCCCCTTGCAGATAAGCAACGGAGTCATGGTTGCAACAAGGGGCACAGACGGGCCTGCAGCTCATCGCGTTTTGCTGATAGGTGATAGGCTTCTGGTAGTTGTCGACATTGTTCGATCAACAGGGACATCAGCGCTGCCCAAATACTTTATGCAGGCAGCCTAACAATAACTCGCATCTCCCTAACACATGATCGCCTTTCTCTCCCCTAGGTAACTATCGGTGTTGCCTTGTCGATGCATTCCCAGAGCCTCTCTTCTGGCCGCGGGTACGGAGGACATGAGCTCACTCAAAGTCGTCGTGAGAAAGAGTTCCAGGGTGGTGGCCCGAGCTTAGAGAGCTGATATCACGTGACACTGACATGGCCTGATCCGGGCATACATCAAGGATATAAAGTCCTTCAAATCTACCAGACACACACCATCCTGGAAATTCATTTATGTTTATGTGCTTTAACGGAGCCTAAGGCAGTTGCTTTCTTCAATCAATTCTGTTTGAAAAGTACTGATATTAGGATATCCTCATGGCTACTCGCATATCCTCGATCCTTCCCAGGGCGTTGCGCCGTATGCCCTTGGCTCAATGCCAGTGTCTCCAAAACACCCGGCGCCAGGCTCATAGCATAGCGAGGAGGAATGTAGGAAGCTCTAGAAGGGCCTTACCCTTCATTGGCTTTGCGACGGCTCTGACAGCGTTGACGTTATACTCTACGGTTCGGGCTCTTAACAACTGTGTATATGAAACTCAATTGCTAACGAAAGCTGTAGACTTCTACCACTCCCATCTGCCTCGAAGCTCCATCCATTGCCAAACTTGACGAAAAAACCAGGCGTGAAACAGAAATAACATCTTCTTCTCCTATGCGATTGCGCATGGAGAAACTGATAAAAGAGCAACAGAAGCGCATCATCGACGAACTCTCCAAGATAGACGGCAACGCCTTTACAATAGATGAGTGGGACCGCCCCAATGGTGGAGGAGGTATATCGTGCGTCCTGCAGGACGGGAACGTGTTCGAAAAAGCTGGTGTCAATGTCTCAGTCGTATATGGAAAGTTACCTCGTCCTGCAATTGAGAAGATGCGCGCGGACCATAAATCCTTCGTCTCCGCAGATGTCGATTCATTGGATTTCTTTGCCGCTGGACTATCGCTTGTCCTTCATCCAAAGAACCCTATGGCACCTACAGTTCACTTGAATTATCGATTCTTCGAAACATCTGATCCCAAGGACGTTCTCAATGGAAAGACAAACTGGTGGTTTGGCGGTGGCACTGACCTGACCCCATCATACCTCTTCCCTGAGGACTGTGAGCATTTCCATAAAACGATAAAGGACGTCTGTGATACGCATGACCCGTCGTATTATCCAAAATTCAAAGCCTGGTGTGATAAATACTTTTACCTCACGCACAGAAATGAAGCTAGAGGCATTGGCGGAATATTCTTTGATGACCTTGATACAGAATTCATTCGCCAGTCTTCGCCGGCCTCAGCCTCGATATCAGACAAAGAAGCACAGGAACGTCTTTTCTCTTTCGTCACGGATGGTCTATGTTCGTTCCTGCCTGCATATGTCCCCATCGTAAAGAAGCGTAAGGATATGCCATTTACAGAGCAGGAGAAGGATTGGCAGCAGCTTCGCCGGGGGCGATATGTGGAATTCAACCTTGTGCATGATCGGGGAACGAGCTTTGGATTGCGTACTCCCGGCTCTAGGATTGAGAGCATACTGATGAGCTTACCCCGAACTGCGAAATGGGTATATATGGACCCTGTGTCAGGGACAAGAACTGATGGTGTAGAGTCCGAGGATGTTGAGGGTATGGAGAGGGAGAAGGAATTGATGGAGGTACTCAAACATCCAAAGGAGTGGGTGTAATTTCTTTTATATATCTACTTTTGTACTTTGAGAGACAGGTCACAACTTAATTGTACGATAGTGTATAAAAAAGAAGGCAATGATAATTCCTATAGAGGAGATTCAGTTTGTATAGATAAATGCTATATTTAACATCTACGATACTGTGGTAGAGATATAGTATTATAGTGTTCTCAAAGTAAAGACAAAATCCCAAAAAAAACAAATGAAACCGAAACACGCTCACGGCAATGATGGTATCTAATCCAAAACAAAGGAAATATGAATGGTCAAGTCGCCTTTCTACCCATATAAATCAAATAGAATATGATTGCGTTGTAATATCTATTACTCGCTTCTCACATCCCCTTCAAAGCAACGTCTGATCCAACCGTGTATGCATAATGTTACAATTCTTCGCATCTTGCCTGAAACATCTACCGGCCACCAGCTTTCGGAACAACCAGAGCTCTCTGTTTTCCTAGCCATGTGCGGTTTGCTTCTGCATGGTGTGCACTTGCACCGGCTGCACCACGGTGACGAGAAAGCACAATATTGCCGTTCTGTAGCCGCGACTGGAAGTCATACCATGCAGAAGAGATAAGGGCAATTTCTCGTGCTTGTCGGTGAATTATTTGCATTAATTCAGTCTGTTGATACCCACATTAGGTATTCCTGTTTGCGCTGTTGAGTTGCAAAAGAGACAAGGGGGAAACGCACCTCCTTCTCCTTACTAGCCTTGATCTCCTCCTGATCAGCAGAGAACTGCTCGTAGTGCCTAATCCGCTCTTGCAAAGATTCGATGATATCATTTTGTTGGTTCATATGCTGTTGAGAATGTAATAAAAGGAAAACAAACCCAATTTGTTTGTTGTTTGGTTATCCGATTAGCCACAAGATCCCAACTCGGGGTTCATGAACATGCCGATGTAACATATTAGGGAGGCGCCAGGGTTAACAGCGTCATAGGCATAGATGAGACCTGCGAAGAGGAGGGACCAATGCCAGAGCTCGACGAGGCTCTTGACCTGGTTCGGGTCAACCTCTGTCTCGATTGTGGGATTCTCTTCTTTCTTCTTTCTTTCCATTTATATTTGGATTAAGAGGAGACTTCTCCAGTTCAAGGCAGAGCCCGCTCTGGGATTGGTCCCTGGGGGGTTCTTTGGAATTCGGAATGAAGGTTGGGAAAATAGGTGTAAGGTAGGGAGGTCATTGTGTAGTGGTAAAGGGAAGAAAATAGGGGTAAGTAAAATAAAAATGTTTAGGACTAACCTCGGCTCTCCTGGCAAGATGTTCTGCACTGCGTTCAGTTGTTTCTGCAAGTCGCTCTAAGAACTCATTGGTCATATCGTCATCTGTAGTGTCGTTCACCCTGACAGCATTAGCCTCTTCGAGGAGCTGTTTCATCTCCTCAAGAGAAGCTTCTCCTTCAGTAGAAAGCTTGGTGTCGGATTGCTTAAATGTGTTTCTCAAGTTGTCTCGCTCACGAGATATTTCGCTCATCTGGAGCTGCCTAACTTCAAGCTGGCTGGTGAGAGTTCGGGCAGTGGCAGCCAGCACGGCACATTTCTCTCGTAGAGCAGTTTGCTCGACCGAGTTAACCTCCGTTACTTCCTTCACCATTTCGAGTTTCTCCTTGTTAACAAGGCTCACTAGACGTAGTTAGCTGCTGTAGGAAATGGTGCTACCGGGAGAGTTGGCTTACACTTCATGTTGGCATCGGAGAGCTCAAGCTTAGTAGCTTCAAGTAAACCTTCAAGTTCGACGATCTTTGTTCGCATGATGGTATAATCAACGTGCAAGCGCTGATGCGCGTCTTTGAGCTCGGCATCAGTCTGAAGGGAACACTGATAGAAATCGTCCTTCCATTTTCTTTCACCTGGAGCCTCAGATTCGGCATCATCGGGTGTCTCCTGTACCAAGGGAGTAAGTCATCAATCAATGAAGTAAAACAACATAATAACGTACGGTAACGGCTTTGTCAACAATTGAGATATTTTCAAGCTTCTTCTTGAGCTCCTCGTTCTCAGCATTACTATAAAAAGTTAGTAAATGTAAAACCACACTCCACAAGCCAAAAGATAATGGGAGGAAAAGGTATTTAACTTACAGCTGAGCTTCCCGCTTTCCACTTTCTTCCAGATCACGCTCTAGACTGGAGCCGTGCGGTTTAGGAGTGGATGGTCTGGGGGAGGCTGGACTACTATCGAGACCCTCTAGCTCTCGTATCCTCTCCTGCAGTCTGCCGATAGTATCTTCATCCCGGGTCCGCTGTTCCTCAGCACCTAGTAACCTCTCCGTAAGAGCATGATTGTCGAATTCCAGCTTCTTCTTCAGATCTTGAATCTCATGTCTGTCCTGCTCGACACGCGCAACCAGTCGTCTGTAGTTCTCAACCTCGGTCTCTCGAGCAGCGGAAACTCGCTGAAGTGTATCGCTTTCTTTCAGATGTTGCTGGAGGTCCTTGACCTTGTTCTTCAGAATCTGGTTTTCTTTCTCATAGTCCTGACTAGCCTGCAACTTCTGTCTGTATTTTTCAGCGGCATTGGCTTTTCTAGCCAGCTGGTCCCGCTCAATCTTGATCTCGTCGTATTCGTCTTGCAGAGTCTGGTACTTTTGATTTTTAACACGGAGAGTCTCGAGCGATATTCGCAAGCTGTCGATTTCATCTTGGGCAGCCGTTAGTTTAGTTTCTTGTGCGGCTATTATATCTTGCGTCCGGTGTTCGTAGCCCTTGAAATTCGGTCCAATGTCGGCTTTGCCAGACTTTAGTCTTGCCAGACGGTCTTCTGTGATGTTTAGTTTATCCTGCAGCAGCTCGTTTGCTTCTCGAAGGCGTACATCCTTCCGGTGAAACTCTTCCAGGTCTTTCTCCAACTGCTTCTTCTCATTTGATAGCTTATCGTTCTCGACCAGCAATTTGCCAACACGTTCCTCGAACTGCAGCTCTGGGTCCATGGCCAGGTCACGGCGTGCCTTGTATTCATCCTGTTCATAATTTATCTGGTCCAGACGGTCCTGTGAGGGGTTCTGTGCTTCTTCTATTATACCCTTCAAGCCTTCCTGTGTTGCTGTTGAGAGCTGTACCATTCGCTCTATGTACGACTCGGCTCCAGGGGATCTGATGGCGGCCATGAGAAACAGCTTCAGCAGCCGGTTGGTCTCCTTTGTCGAGGCCGTTTCGGCAATCGACTTGAGGTCGGGGTCTGTCGAGAGACCGGCAGGTATCTCTCCGTCATATCGGTTCCGTATATAGTTCAACAGCAGCTTGTGCAAGTGTTTGAGATTCTGCCATCTCAGCACCCAGTGGTCTTCAGGCGAGCTCTCTGGAAGAACACCCAAGAACTCGTGGGGGTCTATGTCCTGCAGGATCTCCCAGAGTATCACCCCGTCGTATAAATCGTCTGAGGACTGGATGGAGGTGCCCAGGGGGAAGCTGTTGATCCATTCAAGGAGCGTTGCGGTTTCGGGTTCGTTTGGCATGGTCACTCGAGGGAATGTGGCGTTTTGAAAAGGGAGGGAGCGTGGAAATCGGGTCGGCAAGAGATCAAGTATGATTATTTAATGATATATGTGCCAGACAGCGGGCTCCATGCTGTCGATGATGCAGGGAGGAAGCGAGAAAAACTATCGGTGTACGTTAGAGACGCCCACTTTGGGGGGGAAAAGCGACGGTCAATCAGAAGCCAAAGTCTAGCTGCAGCTAAACGTGTACCATGCACTTAAGAACGAGACAGCCCACCAGCCGCCCTGGCCACTATTACTCAACTGCCGATCAATCGTTGACATCTTGAACATGGTTACAGGGAACCGTAATGATAGGATATAAACAGATATCTACATTATGGCGATACCTACTCCGTACAATATGGTTGATTACATTATCCTTGGTTTGCTGTCCGTTTATATATAAAGAGCATTATGCAGTCCAGCGCATAGAAAATGGGGTTTAGTTCCAATTTCAAGTTGGCGTCTTGGTATAAATGAGACACAATAAAGCGAGTGTATTTATATCCACAGATCAAACAGGAAAACTAAGGCTCTTTGCCCCTTTTAATGGTGCTGACACCATGTGGTTGCAACAGGTAAAGGGGAAAGACAGAGAGAGAGAAATGGAACAAGAACTGCCAGGAAACCAGAGATATTGCAAACAAGCGGAGTATTGTAGTAGTAGTATAGTAGTATGGCTGTACAAGGATGAAGGTGAGAGGCAGGGCGTTCCGTCTAGACGTTGGCTGAGACGACCTGGTCTTCCTCGATGGTCGCTGGGTGCTCGGCGTCCAGAGTCTTGACTTGGTCCATCATGGATTCAGGCATTTCGCCAGAGAATCCTCTGCGAATAAGATATCAAGCGTTAGTAGGGCGAGGTAACTAGTTATGGAGCGGAGACGCTGTTCCTCAAAGCCGAGCGGGTTCAAACGTACTTAATCAAGGCTGCAGAGACGACGCAGGTTAGCGAAAATGATGTTTCTCTCTGCAAGGCATCAAAGGGGAGGGAGAGGATCGATAGTCTATGACTTACTGTACTCATGATTGATCTTGCCGCCCTACATGATGAAAAAGAAATATGGTCAGTGGCTTGCATCCAAGGGAGCAGGACCGAGAACGGATGATATATTGATGTCAGGATCGGGTTCTTACAGCGGCGAGGATGGCCTCCTTTGTCTTCTGGACAACGGAATCTGGGGCGTCACTGCCGAAGCTGACGATGACGGACTTCATGTTGGCTGCCATGATAGCGGGCGCGAGAGTAGCGAGAACGAGAGCGAGAGAGACTTTCATTTGAGAAGATAGGCGGACAGCTGTATCACACTGGCTGGTTGTTCGCAGTCGAGACTGAGCGGTGGCTTGCAGAGCGGTCGAGGGGCAACGATGGGATGTTGGTCGGTCGTCGTTTTGGTGTTTCGCGTACGGGGCAGCAACTTGACTAAGATGTTTCGTTTCCCTTCCCGCCTGGTTCGAATATATATAGGGTTTTCCCACCTGCCCAGCAAGAGTGAAGAATTATGCATCTGCCTAGGCTTGTCTTAGCTCACCTTATATAAGAGCGCTCCTTACGTATATTGGCGGGCGAGGCCCGGTTCTCCATGCCCCGTACCGTAAGATTATCCTGCGGTTATTTAGCCCTTGAGTTGGCTCCCTCCCTGTGCTTGCTGCTTCTTCCCCTTCCGGCTCTCCCTCTCGCCGCTTTATCGCTCGCTCTTTTCGCCCTGTTAGCCGCGGGTTCTTCTTGGCTTGGCGCTTCACGTCATTGCTTGGCCTTGGCACAGACAGACAGATTAAAATTTGGAAAAGAAAAAAAGGGCGCGAGGGCGGACGAATCATCACGTGACTCTGGGGTTTTTCTTGCTGTTTTAAGCCCACTTACTCCCGCTTTTGGCCGGTGGTCATGTGACGTCACATGCCATGGGGTATCTGACTAAGCTTGTGTTAATCACGTGATGGGGTTTCCTTTCCCCAGCCTCGAAAAAGCGCAAAAAGAACGACGACAGGAAAAAGCACGAACGCGGAAGAAGACGACACGACCGACGACGACGGCGCACATCAGGTCGATAGACACGGAGTAACACTCCTTCTATTGAGCCGGAGAGAAGCAGTGAATACAGAGTACACAACAATATCTGGGAGGACAGACGGGGGTTGTACACGCACTTCTCTTCTTCTTGCTCTATCTTTCGGAGTTTTTTCTCCCTTTGTTTTCTGCGTCTCACCCTGCTTCAAGTTCATCTATCTCCTCCTTTACTGCCCTGCTTGTCTATAACTTGCTCCTCTTCAGATCACATCAGCCCTTTGCTTTCGCTCCTTTTACTACCGCCGTTGACCGCACATATCTTCGCCATTGTTACCGACCGTCTCTCGTTCTATTTCCCCTCGACGAGCTTTCAGCGAACTCCCGCCTTCTTAGTGTGTTTTCCTTTTTGAGGTCACTCTGCTGCCGGGAAGCAAGTGACGGGCACATACAAAACGCAAGAAACAAGAAAAAAAAGAAAGAAAGAAAGAAAGAAAGAAAGAAAGAAAGAAAGAAAGAAAGAAAGCCGAGGGTAGACAGAGCAGGGATTTAGGGCCGTATAAGTGTTGAAGTGGGCGGTTATATTGGCTCCCGAATTTAGGATATTGCGCTGGCATTATTACATGCTCGCCATCCGAGTTTTCTGCAAGGAATAGCTAGCAACCATTCTAATATTTTGTCCTGTGTCTCTACCTATCCTTTCTGTCCGCTTGATTATAAGCTACAAAATTACAGCTCAAAGAAAAAAAAAAAAAAAGAAAAGCACAAAGAGCAGCTGAAGAAGGAAAACAAAATTTAACAAAGGAGAAAAAAGACCAACTTACCCGACAAAGAGGAAAACGAGTCATAGTCGAAGGCTTACTTTTACAACATCTCACCCCTTGGATTTCCTTGCCTTTTCCTTTTCTCTTCTCCTTTTTAGTGTTTGATACCCCGGAGTTGTTCTATTGGAAGAACAACTTCAACCGACACTCCGCCCATCATGTCAGGCCTCGTTTCTGACGAAGTTGCGGAGGACTATAAGAACTCCCTGGAAGACCTCACATCGAATGACAAGTTCCAAATAAGCAATTTGACCGTTATTGCAAAGGAGAACACTGAACATGCCATGGCCATCTCCCGAGTGCTGGAGAATCACATACGAAACGTAGGTACCAATTCTCTTTCCCGTCTCTGCTGTTTTCTCTTATCCTCCCCTTTGCTTTCCATTTCATCTGGGTTTTCAGGCTGCATAAGTACTTTGCGCTGTTGGATAATGCTACTCTCGAATATGGGAAGACGGTGTAGAAAAAAAAAAAAGACCGGAGCGAAGTTATATTCTAATTGATCTCTGTAGACACCACCATCTCAAAAGTTACCAGCTCTCTATGTAGTGGACTCAGTTGTGAAGAATGTAGGGACTCCTTACACGCTGTTCCTGGGCCGCAACTTATATCAAACATTCATGAACGCCTATACTCTCGTTGACTCGCAGACTCGCAAGAAGTTAGACGAGATGCTTAAGACATGGAAAGAACCTGTCCCTGGTTCTTTGGATCCCAGGCCTGTCTTCCCAGCTGAGATTACTCGGAATATCGAGAATGCTCTGATCAAAGCTAGGACAGCAGCCCTTCAGCAACAACAGTCCAGAAGCCAGCAGGAAGCCATGAGCCTCGGTAGGGGTATAGGTACACCGCCGCCAATATGGAGAAATACCCCTACACCACCCCAGGGTGGCCCCAGATACCCTCCTGGATACGGTTATAATAACCAACAAATGCCGAGCAACGGCCATGGATATGTAAGTGGCCATTCATAATACCCATGCAGATATTCTATGCGGGGATTGCTAACTTATATGCAGCCCAATCAACCACTATATAACCAACCACCACAGGAACCAATCAACCTAGCCTCCTTACATCGTGACGTTGACTCGTTGATAATGAGTGTACGGCTCGAGTTCACTGCTAACCCACTTAACACCGCAGTTCAGCAAAAGCTCAAGGCCCTTTTAGATTTACAGAACATTCTACAACAGCAACGGTTACCGGATGCACAGCTAAAACAGATCCGTGACCAGGTATCTCAGCTTTCTGCCTCCAGCGCAAAGCCAACACCACCGCCCCCTGCACCTGCTGCTTTGCCTGCTCATATCTCAAATCCCCCCGTCTCTACACCTCCTATAGGGACAGTACCTGCCCAGGCACCGCAACCAAACCTCCAAGCTTTACTGAACCCAAACACTCTTGCAGAACTTATCAAGGCAACCGCACAGAAGCCTACTCCAACCCAGCAAACTCAACCATATACCCAACCGGCTGCTCCTACTCCATCACTTGCAGCAGCCGTACAACCACCTGTATCCCTAGCCGAAAGTCCCTTGATAGCGTCATTGAGAGCTCGTGGCCTTCTACCTCCTGCTACGGGAACTCCTACAACCACACCGCCTAATCTCCCTTTCATCATTCCAGGCCAACCACCTTATGCTCCAGTGCCTGCCAACACAAATTCTCAAGGTGTCAAGATTAAAGTTCCAATGACCTCTGCTTCGATACGAATGTAAGTGCCACCAGTATCTATATCCTTGAATTTTGCTTTGATTAACCGACATATACCCAGACCTCGCCCAAATTTGATTTCCTGCTTATACGAAGATAAACCGAACCGCTGCGGAACTTGCGGTCGCCGATTTGTCTCAACCCAGGAAGGGAAGGACAAGAAGGCTAGACATCTAGACTGGCACTTCAAAACAAATCTACGGATAAACGAGGCAGCCAAGAGAAGTCAGAACAGAAGCTGGTATCTCGACGAGCGCGTAAGTTTTATGCAGTCAGCTTGGTGTGTTCTACTCTCCAGCGTAACTAACATGCACTCCAGGACTGGATAAAATTCAGAGAATTTGAAGATGACATTGGTGCCGACGATGCATCCGTCGCTGCCAGAAAATCCAACAACGAAGATGCATCAGGTAAGAAGGCAGAACAGCAAAGATGGATCCACGCTCCCAATGATGCCACGCTTCGCAATACTCCCTGCCCAATATGTCAGGAGAACTTTGAGTCCACTTGGTTTGAAGAAGCGCAAGATTGGATATGGAGAGATGCTATTAAAGTTGGAAATCGCATATATCACGCCAGTTGCTATGCAGAGGTCACAAAAGATGGCAGCACAGGTGCAAATGCCGATATATCGCGGGGCCGAACCAGTACGCCGGATTCTGTTCTCGGCAAACGAAAAGCAGAGGTGAGCATATTCTCTTGATGTCTTGATATGTAGAATATATTAAAACGTTTACTAATTTCATGCTCGATCTATAGGATTCGGATTTCTCTACATCCAGCGTCAGAATTAAAACCGAGCCAGCTTCATGACCCTTTCTCCGCGACTTTATCAAACAAAAAGGGATAACAATTTTCATTCCACTGTCCATATGATTTCTCCAGGCACCCATCATCGTGTCCTTTTGCTTTTCTGGCCCCTGATTACCCCCAATCTACATTCCCGATATCCATATATCCCATTTGCGTTATCATCTTCCCCTTTAAATACTTGTTTCAGTCATGTTTACACACAGCGGGAAATGCCTAAGTCTCTTTCAGTTGCATGGCGAATAGACCTGCTTTTTATTTCACTGTAGGACCTTCTCCCATACAAAGTACTTTTACACTAATATTAATGGGACAGAGATAGTATCCCTAGGTAGTGATAGGAATTACAGAAATAAGATAACTCCTATGGTTTTATATATACATTTAAGCTCTCTTTATCTTTATCTACTTTATCAATCAATTCTGTGAGTCAAAATAAGCTAACTAGCGGCCGCGGGAGGCTGTAACCTTAATCATCTCTAATGCTAAGCTAACCTCACATAACCATGGTAGAACTCTCTTATATTATAGAGAGGCATATAACTTTGAATATATTGAGTAGGGGTAAGAGAAAGCTATTGATTAAAATAATCTAATTCATACTTGTAGCAGCCACTAAAAACAAAGCCCCATCGTAAACCTCCCATGTAAGAACACCGACCAAGCCGCAAATGACATCAAGAAAGTACCCGCCACACAGTCAAATTTCAAAGGTTTTCCACCCCAGAAAGGTACAAGGCACAGATATAACCACACAACTTTGGAATCAAAAACAAGGGGCCGTAGACATTTAGTCAGTAACAGGTAGAGTAGACGTGATACGAAGCGGTCAAGATCGAAAGAAGAATTCTCCTCTGAGCCAATGAAAGGCATCCTTTATGAGGTCACTGGTGGTTTTGAGTGCCAGTAGCAGGAGCCTTTGCAGTGTTGGGGATGTCAGAATCATTGACGTTGGCAGTTGCAGTATCAGGCTCGTCATCGACCACTGCCTCAGTTCCCTGGTGCGGAGGAGCCGGTTCCGTAACTGCCGCACCTGTCTTGGTGGCAGCACCTGTTGGCGGAGTTGGAACGTCAGGGGAACCCGAGTTTCCAGACCCATAGATGCTGCTATCCGTACGTGCATGGCCGATTACACCCTCTGGGTTGGTATGGATGTTACGCTGTGAAGATATTAGTTGCTTGAGTTTGAGTAGTAACTAACTAGTTAAAGTTCACCACGAAGCGAAAAGCGCGGGATATTCATGTTAACTTACGCGAGATCTATTCTCATCAGCATATCTGGCTGCGGCAGTAATCAACTCCATGTCCAAGGAGTGCTGCATCGGCATGATAAGTGCTGGACGCGAGGCATTATTTGGATCCTCCGGGTGAATCGCTGTAGCCAAACGAACAGTTAACTGGTTAACCCCCGAGAGAAATAATCAAGAAAACGCGAAGTACACGTGTATTTTGACGTGGAGATTGCTTTACATGGTCTCCGAGAAGGCAGAAATTGACGTCAAATAGTCGTAGCACAAAAGAAAGGAGCATGGAGGCTTATCCTGGACAATCCACTGGAGGGGTTTGTATCTGTAGTACTTACGCTGCAAGTTCAGCAAGCTGATATCAACAGTAGTAGAAGGGCTAGAAAGCAACTCTTATTAGCCATATTGCATTTATATATATATAAAAATAGGGCGGATGAGGAGGAGCCGTGTCCCTTGAGCCAAATACTTACCAGGTTGGTCTCCCAATCTCGTACTTGTGTGGTTGAGCCTGCTCTCCATGAGAACGGAGACAAGAGCAGGAGAGTACACACCCCATTGCTATTCTCGAAGTGATATGATAGTGAAAGACCTAAAGAAACAAGAGGTAGTCAAAGACTTTGACCAGGGAGAAACTGAAATCTGCAGTGGATGTGATGTGGTGATAAACAAGAGGGGGAAGATGAAGTTGATACTGATATGTCTAGCTGCTTAGTCGGCGACCAGCTATACAGTGGATCACTGAGGCCATGAAGAAAAGATGCGATAGAATAATATGCAAGTAAAAAGATAGTAGACCAGAAGACTCCACTGAAGTTGCATTAAAAAGAGCACTGCATGGTGCTTCTGGACAGGAACTTCCCGTTATGGGGAGCAAGGAAGACAAAGGGCGCAGATAGTGGGAGAGAGAGGGGGGGAATACAATGCATTTATATGAATATATTGCTCATAAAAAAAGAAGCAATAGCACAGATGCATTGTATTTCTAACAAGTAACGTACAGTATACAAGAGCACCAGATCCCGCAGGTCTATACACGTTCAGTAGTTCCTAACCATCAAAGCAACAAAAAGCCTCAAAATAGGGGAATAAATGGTATCCCATGTATAGAGAGTCGTAGACACGTATTCCTGACAACCGAGGAGGCGAATGCGGAACAAAAAGTAGGTAGGGGGCCGTGGTTTTGTATGGGGCTTCTCAGAAGAATTACTTGGACAAGCCGATCTTGCTAAGAATTGGAGACTGCTTCTGCTCGAAGACTCCGAGAATGCTCTTCCAGACCTGGCCAGGCTCCTGGCTGGCATCAATTCCGCTCCAGATACCGGTCTTCTTGTAGTATCCAACAACAGGCGCGGTTTGGGCGTGGTAAGTGGCCAGCCGCTTCTTCAATGCCTCGGCGTTGTCATCAGAGCGCTGGACAAGCGGCTCCCCGGTGATGTCGTCGGTCATCTCCTTCTTCGGTGGGTTGAAGATTTTGTGGTAGGATCTTCCAGAGCCCGGGTGGATAAGTCGGCCCGTTATCCGAGAAACAAGAAGACTATCATCAATCTGGAGTTCGACAGCATGCTGCAGCGCCTGCTTGCGTTCGCGAAGCATGTCATCCAGTCGTTCAGCTTGAGCAACTGTACGAGGGAACCCATCAAGGATGAAACTGTGAAGAGGCAAGGGGGAAAAAGTGTTGCGTCAGTAAGCTTGGACCATGGTCCCAAAAAAATGGCGGTAAAACGTACCCCTTCTTACACTCCTTGTTCGACTCCAACTCGTTCTTGATCATGCCGACCATAATCTCGTCGGAGACAAGTCCACCTTGGTCCATGATCTTCTTTGCAGCCTTGCCGAGCTCAGTTTGGCGGGAGACTTGTGATCGGAGCATGTCACCGGTAGACTTGTACATAGTTGTTAGAGCGACAATGGACGATACTAGGGTATAGACAAGTCGGTTGGCAAATATAGACATACCAAGTGGCACACGCAGTATTTCTCCTTGATCTTGGGCGCCTGGGTTCCCTTGCCTGCGAGCCACGGTGGTCAGTCGAACATTTCGGCAAAGACGGACGTGTATTCAAGACGCTACATACCGGCACCAGGAGGGCCCATCAGGATCATCCGCATCGACTCAGCAGCCGAATTGGAGTCTGAATGACCGCCATTGAGCAATGCCTTCTCCAATCCAACTATCCGGGACTCCAAGCTATTGATGAGGTCCTTCAGGGCATCGATCGATTCGCCGTTGTTAGCTGGGGCCATTGTGAGCCGAGGATGAAGGTGGTCAAAGAATAAGAACAATCCTTTGGAATCAGGAACCGGACGAGAGCGCGTTCACTCTGAGATGGCAATTGGCAAGCAGATGAAGAGCGGAGAGGTTGAGGAGATGAAAGAAAGAAGAGCGTTCAGCAGATCCGAAGAAGAGAAACGAAGAACGTCGGCGAGGATTAACCTGATGCTTGCTTTTTCTTGCCGCTCTTGGTTGGTTTCAACCTGCAGCGCGACGAGCTTAAAGCCGGCACACGGCAAAGATGACTCAGCAGTCACGGGCTAGAGCTTTATCACGTGATGGTATTAATCATAAAAGCTTAGTCACTTGTTAGTCATTGGTATGCTTATTCAGCATGCCGCTTCTGTTCCCAAAAGCTTGCGCTTAAGCTCTGGGGCAGCTTCAAGTCAACACGGCGGACGGACAGACAGGCAGGCAGACAGACAGACAGAAAACAAGCAGACGAAGACGAGGAGCTGCAGATAGCAGATATTTACCACCGTTGGCTGCTTGCCTCCATACCTTCTTCGTTGTGTCCTCTTCTTTTCTTTACCTCCCCCCTCCGTCTTTTCTAGTGACCTCGTTTTGTCCGTTCCATCATGCCTGCTACTACCACCGATACCCTCTCCCTCGTCACCACAACTGTTACCGTTGCTCCCTTAGTTCTTCTCTCGGCAGCAGATCACTATGGACGGTCAGCAAAGGGGACTAGAAAGCGAGTGGTTGGTGTATTACTCGGCCAGAATGATGGGAAAACGGTCCGCGTGTCCAACAGTTTTGCGGGTATGTGCCATGAATGCGCGGAGTTATTATCATACATTGAAGCAGCGGAGCCCTGTATTCCAGCTCTACTAACAATTCACTCTACAATATAGTACCTTTCGAAGAAGATGACAAGGACCCTTCAGTCTGGTTTTTAGACCACAACTTCGTCGAGTCTATGAACGATATGTTCAAGAAGATTAACGCCCGCGAGAAACTGATTGGATGGTATCACTCCGGCCCGAAGCTGAGAGCGTCGGATCTAGAGATCAACGAGCTGTTTAAACGATACAACCCAAACCCTCTACTTGTCATTATTGACGTGCAGCCGAAGGAAGTCGGGGTGCCTACTGATGCATATTTTGCTGTTGAAGAGATCAAAGATGTGAGATCCAGCGTTCCTGTGTGGCTCGATTGTCCCGAGAACTCACAAGCTAACATCGAACATGTAGGACGGAACAACAACGTCCAAGACTTTCGTTCATACCCCTTCAATAATAGAAGCTGAAGAGGCCGAGGAAATAGGTGTAGAACATCTCTTAAGAGATATCAGAGATGTTGCAGTTGGCACCCTCTCCACCAGAATAACGTCACAACTTCAGTCTCTACAAGGCCTTCATCTTAGGCTTCGGGATATTGGCCAGTATCTTGAGAAGGTACTAGACAGAGACCTCCCCGTCAACCACGCCATCCTCGGTCATCTCCAAGATGTATTCAACCTCCTGCCAAACCTCGCTACAGCCAAACCAGGCACTCCCTCCGGTGCCAATGGCGCCGAACAGCAAATCGAGAACACCGAGCTTGCCCGTGCCATGAACATCAAAACAAACGATCAGCTTATGTCCATCTACATCAGCAGTTTGATCCGAGCCATAACTGCGTTCCACGACTTGATAGAAAATAAGATCCAGAATCGTCAGCAGCAGGAGGAAAGAGAGGCAAAGAAGGAAGAGGGAAAGGAAGAGAAAGCCGGTGCCAGTTCAAATAACGAAAATAAGAAATCGGGCTCCGCTTCAGGGACAGATACAAAGGACGAGCCAAGTTCGAATGAGAAGGGGAAGAAGAAATAATGGATTACATCAATACACTTAGAGCCGCCGTTTTTCGCTCCTTATGGTTTTCTTCGACTTCATTTTCCCTCTACTTCCTTCCGTCTCAGAGAATAATTGGAACTAGTCAGCGATATGTCAAATATTGCCTGTATCTTTTCCCCAATAGAGCATCTGTGGAATGGGTCGACGCACTGGATCAGAAATATAATGGCATTGAATTAACGTTGCTTCCTTAAACCTCTAATTCAAACACCGGAGCCATGCTATATATACTTTTGTAAGATAACCCTTATGGTTGACACCTTTCTCCTTCATGCCGCAAGCTTTCCCGCAAATTCCCAAGAATCTATCTCACATCTCCGTACTTTGCTACCAAATACACCTGGACACTGGGATACAAGTGTACACGCCAGTAAATGTTTGCAAATGGATGGTGAATCATGCATGAAGCAACAGCCCGAAGGAGAAGACCTACAGGGTGTGCTTTGGGTCAGACACCCACCAAACACCCAGTTTTTGCTCTTTGTAGTGGTATCAACCGGCTCATTCCTCACCAGTAATTCAACATCGCCCTCTGTTTGGGGCGGCGTTTCCTCCATCTCTGGATCAAGATCCCGAAAGGTGGCCAGCGTAAACGCGGGACATGTACAGTTCCATGCATCAAGACAAACCTGATATTCGCTCTCTTGTTGCTGCCGGTGATTGTCTTCCTCTACTCCAGGTCTCCTCTTCGCAGCTGTAGACAAGACGAAATATATCTCGCTATCAAAACATTCGCCCTCGTAGTCATCTTCTCTGTTGATATCGCGCCTCTGCTGCCGCTGTGTCCTCGGGTCATCTCCACAGTATACCTCTATCTCTCCTCCATCTTCCCCGTACTCTGGACGGCATATGGCCTCTCCCGGGGGTCCACTGTTCCGGGGCTTGATAGTGTATCTAGTAATCAGATCCCGGTCGAGGATATCAAGAGCTGGAAGCAGCTCATTTGGGAACAGACAGTGCAATGTCAGCACCAACGGCTTCGCCTTTGCCACAACATCTGCCGGCAGCTGCGATAATGGGTTTCTCGGTGTGTCTCCTTCGTCGTCTTCAACGTCCGGTGTTATAGAGATACCATCTAGAGGCTCCTGGGCTCGGCTACAGGCGGCGAGCTGCCTTATAAGGCCCGTGATAAAGACTGACGAACAGGGGAGCGAGCTCTCTGGGCTCCCGGAGCGAAGGGCTGACATCGAACCGGCTTCACTGAGCATCCCTTTTCCCCGGAGGCGTTAATCAAAACCCGTGCAGCTGGGAGAACGGGTGGTTGAATGGGAATTTGAGTCTGGGAGAGCTGGAGCCAGGGACGAAACGCAGCCCCTTGCCTGCTCGAGTGGTCGATCCAGTGGAAAGAGAGGGTTCAGGACTTATACGAACTTGCCAGCATTAACTATGCAGCATCCGTGTAGCAGCAGCGCCTTTGTCCAAGATATGTTCCTTGCAACAGTTTAGTTTATGCATGTCTGTGGCCATAGCCATAACTAGTGAGTTATTATTATAACTGATGCTTGATTTTAGCCAAATAACTACATACAAAGGGGCCCTCACATGCCTATAACAACCAAGATCAACTCTATAAAAATAGCTAGGCCGAATCCTCCAGAGACCCAACATCTTTGCAAAGTTGCAACACAGACCTCCGATCCCCATACGCACCCTATAACACGCCAGAAATAGCTTGACGGGCCAGGAGAAAAGTGTCCTAGCGTTGATTTGATGCCCATTTCCGTGTTCCCCAAGCTTCACACTCCCAGTACTTATCCACCTGGGATAAGTCCTCTCCTTGTGCTCGGCCTTGGGACGAGTTGGCCGGTTACCTTTGGACTTGCGCCGTTCTTCTCTGCCGGGAGACACTGCTTCTTCCCTCCATTATTGCCCCCTAGAGGCGAAGGTGTGAGATTCACACTACCCTCCTGCATTGCGCCAGCTTCTCTCAAGTCGTCAGGCCTAGGCCGCTTTTGCCCACTTTCAAACAGACCCTGAACGGCCCCTCTGAAGACCCTTCCGCCCATGGTGATTTCGATGTCGACCTTTGCTGGCTGGACTTCCCACCGAAAAATCGAGTCAGGGCTGCCAGAGAGACCAGTATTTGAGCTACGCAAGACTTCAATCAAGTCGGTCGAGCCGTCACCTACTTCCACAGTAGCTTCTTCACCTTGGCCAGGGGTAATGATACGTTTTGGAACCCCATGTTCATCCGTAGGCGTCTCATTCGCATTGGCTAGTAGATAAGGCTCAATTCTTCCAGCGAGTGAATAACTCCCTGTCATGGCTGGGTCGTTGTTGATTGCCCCAGGCGATCCTCTAAAAAGAGGTAGCCTGTTATATATCAGGACATACGGAACGTTATTATCATCCTGGTACCTAAGGATGACGTTAATGTCAGCTTCACATGAAAAGTCGTCATTCAAGCACGTCCAGGTGCCTCGTGGCCCTTTGACATATGACATATAATGGCCCTCCTTTATTGTGGCACCGCGGTGGACGATAACCGAAGTGAGTTGATAGCGAAGGGTGTCTCCGAATTCTCTCGCCTGTGGGAGCAACCTTTCCGTCAGATCTAGATCCTCGGCGAATTGAACCTCAGCCGTCACTTTAGAAGACTCTCCACTCTCCGATACCTTGAATCTGGTAATCTGGATAACCAACACCTCAGGAGCATCTTTAATAAACATCTCCCGATGAAGAGTCGAATTGCTACCGCAGTTATCACAATGATATCCTGCAATTTCTTCTGGCCTCATATACTCCTGAATGCAGTCCTCGAGTGACCCCAATCTCTGCTCCGGTGGAGAAGCACCCAGCACCCATGAATGGTCTTTTTCGGAATACTTGGTGTGCTGACAGGTTTGGCAAGTGCTCCGGTATTTAAAGACATTTTGGAATATATGTTGTATATCCCCCGTATCAGTAGAGTTGTCGATCTGGGAGATCAACCTGGTCAGGAACTCAATGCAATCCTGTTGGTCCGTGGAACGGGTGTCCCAGAACTGGCTGCACTCCTTCCATAATCGAGAAATGATTAGTTCCAGTTTTAGGGAGGGGTTTGGTGTCCAATATTCGTCAACCAGACGTCCCAGTAAGCAGGCGAAACACTTCTCACAATCCTCGGAATTATCTGACCTATGGTTCAGCAAGTGGAGCATCAACCAATTAACAAAGAGGGGCTGATGTAGTAAGGCAGTCAAAATGCAGTTCCTATAACACAGTACACCTGTTCCATTCCTAATGCCTCCGGAAACCAGTGCTGGGTTTCTGAAATATAGACCCCAATCGGAGTAGAACAACCTAAGCTAATTGTAGTCAGTAAAAGTGCAAGAAGGGACCCCAAGAGTAGAGTATTATGCTTACCCTTCCGCGGCTATTCTCGTTGGAAGTATTGGCGCTATGGCTGGTTGGGTTATTTGCCATTGTAAATTGAGATATTGTCGATGAGACTGGGGTCTAGTAATAAATTGCGTCTAGTTTACGCCAAATCTAAAAATTCAGTCCCTCTGGTATTGAATGCGTGTAGTAAATGGTGAGCTTAATATATAGCGTCATTGAAGTGTACAGGGTAGCTTTTTCGTGTAGTTACCCTGTTATATACATTTCAAGTATGTGCGTGTTTTTGTTACTTGTTTGTTTGAATTTGAACAGACAAGTCCATTCATTTTGATATCAAAACTATACACAAAGATTGTGCAACAAAGCTTCGCAGACTTGTTCCTTGGTTATCGAAGCCTCGACGTTGTCCTTTGATGGGGACAACTGAAAGACTATATTAAGGGTGCCTTGAGCTGATTTGGTAGTTCTCCGGGAGAAGCAGCCAAAGAAGGACGACCAAGTAGAAAGCATCTACATGCATAATATGCATCGCTGTGCCACTGTATATAAATGCGTTCATGTTTGGCCATTCCTTCTCATTGGCAATAGTTGGACTGGCCGGGAAAAGGGTATTACCATGTATTTAGGAGAGTGAAGACCCTCCGCTGGGTATAGAAAATCAACGTAAGTTTCATTAGCTGGGAACTGCTCGTATATGAAAATAATCCCCTGAGATCTTTGCTTTGGTTTGTCCTTGTGTGTAGTGGTTTGATCTTGGTCTTTGATATATGTTTGAATGTCTTCCAACCAAGGCTAACTAACTAGCGATTCCAACCAACAATTGATCAAAGGGTACAAGGCAGAGATAATACCAGCGCTGTTAACAGAAACAGACAGCTACCATGACAACAATCGCGAGCAACAGAAGAAAAAGAGAAGATGCGAATTCCCGCAAAAAGGGGTCTTGGACAGGGGATCTCACCAGGCGGTCTTAGTCACATGATGGAGTTGTTGATGCTTTTTCTTTTTTGTTGGAGTTTTTGACAAACAACTCGGACAAACGACAACAACAACAACACTCGAACACCGCGAGCATGGATGGGGAACAAGGATCATGCCTCCACGGATCTGGAAGTGCTGGATGGTCAGACGGCCGAGTGCTTCAAGTTTGGTGACGTTGATGTTCCCTCACCCGTCAGAGCTCGGCTGTGTTGCTCCATGTTCAGGTAGAGGACGAGGCAAGCCCACAGAGCTGCCACTTGACATGAAGTGGTTAGACGCTCTTTGTCTGTGAAAGCCATCCATTTGCTGACCGTCATGAGCTCAGGCTCCTCTCACTCCTAATAATGGCGAAAGCATACTGTATTCGATACACGCTGGACCCAGACGAAGTACGACACCTTCTGGAATATGACGTTCTCTGCCTGTTCGCCATATCCTAGTTCTAACCACCAGCCACCCTAGCCCTACGCCAACAGGCAACACCTGGGTATTAAATTTTTATCCCTCTCTTAACATATACGCTCTTCAGCTGCGCCCATGGGATTCACGCGGCCTCCGAAGATCTTCTTAAGGCTTAGACACAGTCCAATCGAATTTCACACCGCCTCATCGGGAAACCAGAAAGTTTAACAACTCATCTAGTTGCCCTTTACGATGCTGCATCGCATGACAATCGCGAATGTCGTTAACCAGCTTAGTCCTTTTTTTTTTTTCTGCCTTTCTCTGAGAAAGTCCATGGCTCATACCCTTGCCTAACCTGGCAATCGGGACTCTTTGCATGATAAACACGATCAACCGCGCCATGGACATCTTGCGTCTGGGTCTCGGAGTTCATCCTATACTCCATTTCTGTGCATAATAGACCGCTTTCATGTTAACACCTGCATGCAACTCTCATGTTGGTCGTTTGGTAAAAAAGAAGAAAAAATGAAAATGAAAATGAAAAAAATTCTCCAGAGGCCACGGTTCATCCAGCTCGCCACACGTATACCTCTGAGGTATGGTGTGCGATTTTCAAGAAATCCGAGCCTTATTTTGAGTCATTCTCCATGGACCATTCGGCTTGCTGTGACACATGGCCTTTCCCAAGTGGGATATTCCTCAACCATAACGTCTGCCCAGGTTGAGATAGTATGGCTTTGTGATTATCTGTCCTCCTGTGGAAGGAGAAACCAGAATATAGAAGATTTTGCGGTGGGGCCCGGTAACTTGACAGCCCAAACGCTCGCATACGTAAATATATGAGCTGCGGTGCATCCATCTGGGCAGAGTGATGAGGCTGTGACATCAAAAAGTTCCATTGGCTGGTATGATTTATACCGTCTTGTGTTTGCCATCCACGTCACTTTCCTGGAAAGTGTACCGATCACTCCCAAACAGAAGTGATTACAAGCATTAGATCTATTGAGCGATATGCAGCACCGAGTCAACTAATGATATTCGAAGAGCATCACTCTGTGGTACTGGCACAATTCAGGTTACCCCTGTATATCGCTGAAGGGATTATGCCAGCACGTGAGCTTTCATTTCAACATGGCCTTTGGAATGTGTTACCGCCAGGAACCACAACTGATCTGCTCATACCGAAGTAATCTTGCTGATGATCTGGTGAAGCTATCTATAAGTCCTGGTTGAGGACATATCCCGCGTCTGGGTATACGGAGCACTCCGCGGGAACTTCTATTCATTCCGACTTGATTCCAGCATAAAAAAACGGGGTATCCATGTTGGCTCAGAGGATTCATTATGCAGACCTAACCTAGCTCTGTGGTTCAAGAAAAACGACTATCGATTTTCGTGATTCCTGTATCCGTACAGAGAAGATATTCTTGCATAAATATTCGCACGACAGCTGCGAGAACCCGCAAAAGATGATAGAATCTCTATTCCGGAGCGATGATCTTGG